CCGCTAGGTCGGGTTTCCCCACTCCCAAAGAGCGTGGCGATATGCTTGACATGTCCTGTTTTATGCGTAGATGCATGCGTAGAGATGGTGCTGGCCCCAGCTTGTGGAAACAACTGCGTTTTAAAAGCATCTGCTAAACAAAGCTAAACCTATTTTTTTCCCCCTCTTTTTATGATGCTAAGCACAAACTCCAGTTAAAGTTTTTGTAGGCATGTATGTTACTAATACTGACCAGGAGCAGATCAGCACCTTTTGGGTATGTGCCACCTTTTAATTTAGTACTTAATATTTAGCATGACGTGGCAGGTGCTCACAGGTAAAGGGCTACAGTTATCTTCAGGCTTTGTGCAAATAGGTGGTATTTCATTGCATTACGCAGTTTCTGCAGGGGTGAACTTCTGGAGGATCCTACTTCTTCTAGCTAGTAGAGGAATAATGTTGGATAATTTCAGTAACGCTTTTTAGTGTTGAAAATTTCCACTTTCCTACCGATTGCTGTGAAAAGTGATTTTTCTCCTAACACGCGGTGGGATGACTTGAGCAAACTTCTTCAGATCAGAAGATTTTAAGAAAAACACTATATGGTTTGCAGGATTATAAATATAACCTTGAGACTCTAATAAACTCATATAGCTTCTGAAAGACTATGGAGCACCTCTATGAAAGTGGCTGGATATAAGAGCTCAACAGTGTGAGCATTCACAAAGCTGGCAAACTTAGTGTCACACTTTACTGATGGTGCTAGAAAAAGTTCTTGAGAGATGCAGGTAGTACAACTATGCATCACTGAGGATGATTTTGAAGTAGAGGCTGAGAGAGATGTAGAACAGACTCCCTGCCTCACGGAGAATGTGAAATGGAAATGAAGGAGCCACACTCATTAAGTCGATCTCCTCAGGTTACCCGAGGCAGTCCGTGCTGAAAGAGGGGAACAGAAAAGAATGCAGTCTCTTTCACTTACTCTATGGGCCTGGAAGTTACTGAGAACAGTTTCAAAATGGACAGGTTCCTCCTGAAGCAGGGAATCAGGGCATATACATGTTCGGGCAGTTAAATTCAGGGATGGTTTGTCTTCTCCATCGCTCAGGTTATCCATCACAAAGTTGCCCCGCACAGTGAGGCCCCCACGCTGTCCTTGTTGAGCTCTGGCAGTTAGTTTTATGGTAACATTTTTAATCCAGCATAGCTGGCTTGAGTTAAGGGCTCCATTTACTACATTGGGGAACCTTTTTTGTTTCAATCTCACAATCACGCTTATTGTGTAATCCTTTCATCCTAGCTTTTTATAATCAGAGATTATATATAATGACTATCTGCGGTAACGGGGAGGGAAAAGCTAGGATTCCTGAGAGTAGAAACATTTAGATAATATGCTTGTTATGTAGTACACTGAGGAGCACTGTGTAGAGGCAAGCAAGTGGTTAACAGGCTCAACCACTGTCTGAAAGAATTTACTGTCTCCAGTTTCTGCTGCTGCTGGATCTATGTGGAGCTACTCAGGGGTCTATGCGCTCTGTTCCTTACTACATGAACGTCCACAAAGATTTGTTAGGTGTGGTGTAACACCAGACGCAGACATGTTTCATGCATTTTTGCAGCACGTGTCTCAATTAGTAAATACATCAGGCACCAAAGAATGCAAAGAAGCAATTTTTAGTTAGGTCCATCGAAGCCGTTCTGGTAGACCCGGCACTAGGTCCAGGGTAGTACAGCCAACACAACTGAAGTTGACTTTATGCAGGCAGCAGTCACTGTGCATCACGCTTCAGTGCGCTAGGAGTGTGCAGCTTGTTCTGCCTGGGACTGCCTTTGGGTTGCAGAGCTTACTACCTTAGGAACCCCACCACAAAAAGCAGCTAAATTTCTGCCATACCCGGCCTGGAAGCAGAAGAGCTATGTTCACACACTGCTACATCTAAGTTAATAAACCCTGCCAGATCCAGGCTGTCTTTACTGGGAGCCAGATCCTGTATTTATTTCTGTGTTGGATAAACCACTCAGGTAATTGAGAGCTGCCTGTACGTATTTTGGCTGTAAACATGTATGTGGCAAGCACACAATGGTAACAGAAAATGTTATAGTGTCCACCTGGCGGACTTCACTTTTGGATAACCACTTGGAAGTGTTTTCATAATCCAGGAGCTATGTCGTGAGAAAGATAATAATACAGAGGTTAGATTGTTTAGAAGCATTCTTTATTGCAAAGTCAAAAACTGTTTAATAAATACAAGCGATACCCACCAAGTAAAAAAGATTTGAAACAATCTATGGTTGCTGTGATGTACTTTTAGTGGTTTTAGAAATATCTATAACCAAAGAAGAATTATATAGGAATCTTAAAATAATAGCATCTTTTTCAAGTCAAGCCCTGCAAAGTGTTAGAATTAGTACTGAAATTAAGGTTATCTGATAACTTTTGTGCTGTTTTTTTGTACATGTATGTTACTACAAGATGTGGCGGTAACTTTTCCAATGGGCAGCAGCCTCCTATTACTGACTATTCCTTTTTGTTGCCCTCCTTAGGCCCTACTTAATAGATATCATTTAAACTCTTGCCCGCAGGTAAATTTGTCAGATTTGAATGGGTGTTTCTACTGTGCTTTCCCCTTAGTGACAGAAAAGTTAGTTTCGTTTTTACAGTGTCCCCTTTGTAGAATGAGAAAGGAGGCAGAGATGGAGGAAGGCTCTTACTGTGAAGAGTCTCCTTTTTGCAGGTACTCAGCTTGGGTCCTGACATTGCAATGTTTTGCATTTTATTTGTTTGAAGTGTGCGTCTTAGTGATTACACATGTATTTATCAATGTTCAGCATCCCTGCACATCTGGCCTCCTGTGCCTTTTTTTGTACAAGAAAATAACAAACAGTGGTTGTACTTGTGGAAACTGGTTTAAGTGACAAGTTCAGAAAGACCTAGGGATATGAACGAGGGACTTTATCTAAATTTATCCAGCTGCCTGCAATGATATGCTGCTTTCTCTTCCGAAAGTCCCTTCATTCAGTTATATCTTCCAGCTTCTGCCAAGGTCTTAGGAAAAATAGTCTCCTCTAGGTACTGCTATGTTCCACTTGCAACATAGAGGTCTCCTGTATGTTTAAGGATGTAGTGATTCCAGGGGAAAAACTAGAACTTGATCATATGATTAAATGCAGAATCATCTGTAGGAACAAGAAGGTTGTACAGGCAAGCTTATTTCTGGGTTTTCCTAATATTGACAGCTTTGCAGCTTTTGCCACCTTAATGTTTTTTTCAGCGTAGCTCTCAAGCAGCGTCATATTTTTAAGAAGAAAAAGCAGAAGAGTCCATCATAAGGGCCTTTAGTGATCCCCATCCTGGATCATTAGCAAGGTCTTGTCCTTCAGACGCTATCATACTTCTGATAGTTAGAAATATACAGAGCATTTCACTGAAGCTTTTAAAAGTTTCAAGCACTGCAATGAAAAACCGCAATCAATCCAAGCCAGATATCCAAGATAAGTTTCAATGCAATTTGTTAAAGTTTAGCCAAGTTAAAAATCACTGAAGAAAGATCTCATTTTAAGCAATCTAAACTGCCAGTTTCCCCGGTAATATTAAGTGACGGTTCTGGGTATTTTAGACAGGTCAAGGAAGCTGACAGAAGCACAGGGACAGTAGCTGGCCTTCCAGCCTGAGTATCCCCAGCAACCTTGGCAGTGCCTCAAGCCAGCCGCTGACTGCACAGCAGGAACGAAAGAAGTAGTTTGAAGCTTTAGAGACGAGAACTTCATCACGGAGGATAATCCTGGTGTATTGGCCTGCCAAGGCGCTCACTCTCAAAGTGCTTTGTAACATACGTGGTTCTAGAGCGCAGAGCTGAGCAAGTGCTGTCTGCTGGCCTTGCTGCTCCGATTTGCAAGTGCCCCTTCAGGATAAGAGCATTTCTATACTAAGCTCCTAGTGTTTTATGAACATGAATTCGTCCTTGGGAAACCAGCACGAAGTGCCTTTAGTTGTTATTCCTGCTCTTCAGGTAACTGCATGACAGGTAACAAAATTAGGACATTTTTTCAAAAAATGTAGAAACACGAGGGTGCAGCAGTACCACTAGGTAGCAGGACGAAGGATACATGCTAATAAATTTTAGTAGATGTTCTTTAGGCCTGATGGTGGGAACGTGTACATAGCATGACATACAAGTCAGTGTCTTAGTAAACCGGATTCTGCTTGCGGAAGGGCAGAAGGATACACCCTGTAAATACAGTTTGTGTGTAGAAGCATATATAACTTGATGTGGGTCAGTTGTTACCATTCAAACCTTGATAGCATCTCTTCAGTCATCCATAGCTACTTGCTGTGTGAAAGAATCCTTGTATTTTGGAGCCTGAGCACTGTATATAAACGTTTTGCTTATGCTGTTTTCTGTTGTTACAGAATATTATTAGTAATGTAATGTTCTAAAGTAATGTAATTATCTGTAATGTTACAGATATTAGTAATCACATAAACTTAGTTCTGTGATTAACTTTTTTTTCCCCCCCCTAGAATTTTGTGCCATCCTTTGGAAAGGAGACGTTACGGACAACAGTCCCTCCACCGTTCGAACGAAACATGGATCGTGTGGACTTTATTCATTTAGACGTTTTAGAAAAGAAAGTTCTTAACAACTCTGAGGTTTCAGTTCACTATTTATGTTCTAAGCCTTGTATTGTCAACCTGGAGGCAATAGCTTCCTCAGAGTTCAGGACTGGTGTGTCTGTGTATAGAAGGAGATGGAAGGACGAGAAGAACCTTTATGTTAGTAGAACTCGACAGGTACATTTGAAGTTTCCAAGCATCATGGTTTACAGAGATGATTTTATCATCAGGAACTCAATAATAGTGCACAGCGTGATACTATACGCATGGATTAGTCATGCATCGGTTAGCAGCTCGGATGTTAAGCAGAACGAAAGCTATCAGCAGGCAGTTGCCAGGAATTACACTTTTTTAGAAGCGGTTTCACCTTTTAAGCGTCCATACAAAGACCACAAAGTTTGTCTTCAGTGGGGCACTGACTATTTGTGGACGCTCCAGGCAAACAGGATTCCACAATGCCCCCATGAAAGCGGTATGTGTAGTGTCACTTTTTTTTTTCGAGAGAGAACTAATGGTACCCAAATAACATCATCTTTAAGCTGTTAAAGAGTGTATACCTGTAGTAAATATTAAATGTTATGTAGAATGACATGTAATTCTACTTCTATGGCAGAAATGTGGTGGCTTATGTTGTTGAATATATAAGCTTAATAACTGCGTGGTTACAGTTGCAAATGACTGCGGTCCTGTAATCCCACAGAGCTGGCTTGCTCTGTCACAGGTAGCCTGGAGATTTCTAGCAGCACTGCCTTGTAGTTTCTATGTATGTTCACAGAATTTTATTTAAAGCCCACTGATGTCAGGGGGCATCGTTTCATTTTCTTCAGAGAGATTTGTGCAGTCCCTTAGTTCGGGGCCAGTCCTACAGTTACTACACACGTAAGTCTCGTACAGGAAGTCTACCTGACTTGTACTTAAGATTGTGGACATACTTTCAGAAACTGTAAGTCTTTATAGTGCATTCCACTTTATAGTGTTTTTCGCCTGAAGCCATTAAGACAAGTTATTTTTGTTTCAAAAATGAATTAGTTTTAAATACAAAATGTGTTGTTAGTAAGTTCATTTTTTCAACACTCTAGTACATTTAGGATAGTGTTAATGAATTAAATAGATTCATTGTATTTGAGCATTTTCGTTAATTCTGATTTCTGTTCAAATACAGCTTCACACAAATCACAAGGAAAAATAACCATCATCTGGTGGTAAACAAGAAACATATCATTTACAGTTTGCTAACATAAAACATAAAATTTTAGTATCCCTATAAAAATAAGTGTTTACATCTTAGGTGCATCTTTCTGGTTAGTAAGAGAAATACTTTATTTACTGTCATATTTATATATTTAAGTATTTATGTATTTGTGTATCTAAATATACAGCCTATATTCTATATTGCCCAACTTTATAAATTACTGAAACCCACAATTCTGCTTTTCAGGTTTTCTCAGAGTTCTGCTGATTTTTTTTTTTTCTATCTGCCTATCTCTAGCTTTACATCTGCTGACAACTCTTTTTCTCCTCACTGTACATTCCGTGCAGAACCTAGATGCAAAAGGGTTATTTGCTTCCAAAGGTTTCTCTCCTAGAAAATCCAGTAAATTTTGTGTCATTTGTTTTCACTACATTGACATGTAAATACACCGAGGATGAACGGGGAAACAAGGAAGTTACTGCCTTCAGGGGCTTTCGAAAATGCCTGCTGGAGACATGTGATAAGAGCATATGAACTTTGTGAAACATTATCGTATGCGTTGTTTAAATACATTTACTTAAATACATTATAGATAACATTTAGTATAACAAGAAATAGGAGGAAATAACATTTTGTTTGAATTGTTTTTTTTTAACAAAACTTGTAACTAATTGCTTAAATTTTTTTAGGAAAGCTGATGATGTGTCATGGCCTTGGAGATATTTTTCCTCTTTCTTAGCAGAGGCAGCATTACTGATTAGGTTTAGTATAGCATTGTGCATGTCAATTAGGAACAGAATTGGTATCTATCCATACCTATGGTATAAAATGGAGAGCAAAACCAAGAACTGCGGAGCATCCCCACATAGGTATAACCAAAGGTAGAATGATATTTAAATGAATAATATAAATCCAGTTTTCCTCCTGACTAACTTAAACGGAGATTATAACTGGTGTTTTAAATATCTTAGATTTAAATCAGTCCATTCTATCCCTGCTTCTGAATAGCAGCTGGGAATGGACTCCATGCCACTTTTTCCTGTGGGTTATTCCTACCAAGACTGTAATGTACTTAGAGAGTGAAGTTGTGTTTAAGGGCTTTTTGAGGGTTTGCGTTAATTTTTAATCTGTTGTGTGATTCATATGTTTGACTCTGTATAAGCATGTGCTGTTAATGGGAGGGGCAGTTGTCAATGCTTGTTTTCTGGCAGAAAACAAGATTAAGATTGTATTTTGCAGATGGTGTCCAGATTCTCAGCTTCATATATGCCTCCAGCGGGGAGAAAACAGGAATTGTGAAGAAATTTGAACGATTTGAAAACAGAGAACTTGAGACAGTCAGGCAACATCAGATTGATTATCCAATGTAAGTATACACAAATAGATTGCAATTGGTTATTAAATATTGTAGTCTGTGCTTAGACTCTTGGGCCATGTTTCACCCATAAAAAGAGTGTTACCTACCACTATGAGAAATGACTCAAAAGGAAGCTGTTTAGGAATTTGTTCTGTTCTTTTTCTGTTTTGGAAGGGATTAAGCTGAACCTCAGAACAATACTTACGGTGTATCTCAGTGCGGTGCTGCATAAGAGATAGCAGGGGTGAGTGTAGCTTGGTTAGGTACTGTTAGCTGGATAAGTTAGTTTATACGTCGTGATCAGACCTTCTGATACCCATGCTCTCTCATGACTAGCTAGTCTGAGGTTTTCTGCACTACAAAGAGCTCTGCATTTAAAACACCCTTTGCAGATTAGGCGCAGAACAGGATTTCCTGCTAGGGCAGGCAGCGTAGAACAACTTTTTCCCTTTAAACGTGCACTCTATTTTGTTTTGCAGCGGACAAGCCCTTAGTGATAGAGTCCCCTGCCTAGACAAGTCGTCTGCCTTGAGCTTGTACTGTTTCCTTTCACCATTCCCCTGTAAACTGTCCTAGTTGTACAGGAGTAAAGAAGATAGGCCCTGCGCTCTGTTCAGTTACAGAGGTATCACACTGGGAAGATCACCTTTCTCTGCTTCTCTCTCCCTTCCCAAAACTGTCATAACTCTTCAGTCACATTTTGCATCTTTAGAGCAGCAAATAGACATACCTCTCCCTCCCACCAGAGGCTGTTACCCCTGGCAACATTACTGCAGAGGCAGGAAGTGATCACAGGAACTTGCGCTTGCCTGCTGGTTTGCATTTGGCCTGCAGTCACAAGAAGAGCGCCCAAAAAAGCTTTGCCAACCAGAACAGGTTTCATAGGAGCTAATAGCATCAAACTATGCACTGAGGTCATAAGTACAGAGCAATTTTTAGCTCCTAGCCCCTTCGGGATGGGTTTACACACTGTGTTGCCCTTGGCACACCAGCGCAGTTGTGTTCTGCTTTTGGCACTGAGGTGCTGAGGGTTTGGATGAGGATATATAGCATGAATTTATACGGCTCTTTAACTACTCCACACAATTTGTCCCTCTCTTGTCTTCAGGTTGTCTCTCCAGTCTTAACACGAAGCGTTGCCTGTGCATTGTGGCTGCGTGATGGCCTCAGATAGCTATGTTGTGGAACAGAAGAGGAAGAGGCCCTCACAGTTTTTTCCTTCAGCTGTCTCTTAAGTGAATGGTGGCTGCCCATTGCACCAAAAGGCAGACAGGAGCAGATGGATCAAACTAAAGTTACTCATTTGACTTCAGTCAGGGATTTAGTTGACTAAAGAAGATCTCTCTTAAGCTTTCCAGTAGAGATTTTCTTTCATTTAACAGGGCAGATGAGCTTAAATGTAGTGAAAGCAGACTGGAGACAGACAGCTGTCATTTGGGGCAGCTGCCAGCAGACAGTCTGCAGCAAGGCTGAGACAGGGCTGTAAGGGACTACTCACTCTTCACAGCCTTCTGCAGCAATGGAGAATGTGAAGTGGGCAGCATGGTCCCAAACTCCTTGTCCCAAGAAATATGTCCAGAACGTCTGAGCCATGTGCTCAGACTGGCAGTCGAGGATTAAATGGAGACTGCAGCGTTGAAGCTTGCTGCATTGCTAGAGATGGAAGATGGCAAGAGTGATATATATAATCATGAGTAGTATTTCTGGAGCAGTGTTTGCCTGCAGATTATAATGCTCTATTTACAAGCGATCATGATTTATAAGCCCTTCTACCTCACCTACATACTACCTGTGGAGGATATGGCACTATTAGCTGTAGAAGGTGTAGGCTCTATTAGGGAAAACTTCACCACGCTTGCGTTTTTTTGAGGTGGAAAGCAGCTGTTAGGCTTTCAGACCTACATTGGTTTCGTTTAGGTAAAGATACAAGGTCCTGTACGTTTAGTAACTTTTTCAAGGGAAACAAGGCAAGCTGACCCAATTCTAAGCTATTATATAAAACAAATTTAAACAAACATTGACATTTTTCTTAATTGTAGAACTACAAAACGCAAGTGATGTCTCCTTCTAAAAGTCAGTAAGAAAAGAGAACTTCTTTATCAGGAGATGAAAATAACTGTAATACTTTGTTTGGTTATAAGCCACTAGGGTTAGGATTTTCAAAAGCATTCAGCATTGGCCTAGCTGCTGTTATGGAAATAAGTGATCAAATTCCACTTAACAGCACTGGAAGCAGTTCTAGTCTGGCACAGAGGAGCTCCTTAAATGCTGTGCTATAAATTCTGCTTTTAGTGCCTCAGCAGTCTGCTTCGTAATGTCATCAAAGCCAGTGAAACCACTCCAGCTTTGTACAGAATTTGCTCAATAGACAGGGTTGTTGGTGGGGGTTTAGTTTGTATTTTATTTGCTACAACTCCATAGTTTGTACAGGCTCCACCTTTATTTATCCTGTGGTAACTCTGCAACAGCTGTTCATATCTGTACTACCCAGAGGTTGGATTCATTTTTAACTGCAGCAAGCACATTTCCGCAGTTGGCATTTAGCACAGAAGAGATACCTTAGTTTTTACTGATTTCCACAGTCAAGATTACAAGAACATCCATTTGAGGATTTTGTCCCCGAATCTGATTGCGAATCTGATTGCGAATCTGACTCCCAGTTGTCTCAGTTGTTTTTTCAGTTCCCCGTTGATGTGGGATCTGGCCAGAGCTCAGATCCACTATTCTGGCATTGATTCAGGTTACACCCCCTTCCTCTCCTTTCATGTCAGTACCACAAAAGTGCGTAGGAGATCACAGATCCAAAAGTCTTAGGTACTTTTTGTTCTACAGATTTTTACTGTATAGAATGTGTCCTGTTCTGAAGATTACGTGTGCAAAACAGGTTTGCTGAGTTAAAGTGGAATGCATGCTTCTCAATTACAGAGGTTTTAAAACCAAAGGGAGGTTTCTCATCAGGAGTGGACTGATTCTTTCTTTTTGTTCATGCAGGTTCACCATTTCAATCTGGCTGTATTTACTGCATTACTGTGAAATGGATCTGTGTGGTATACTCTATTTTATTGATCCAAAAGAAATGTATAGTACTCCTGCTGTATTTCTAAATGAGGAAGGTAAGTAATATTATAAAAGGCCTTCTGAAGGGGCTGATATCATCTTTATAGATCTGTGTCTAAGAACAACATTTATAAATACTTTATCGACCTATGTTGTGAAACAACTGATCACTTGTGAAATGCTTCTTTTTGTCCATTATGTCTGAAGAGGAAAGTAGCTACTACATTAATACAGTAAAACTGAAAAATAGTTGCATTGCATCTAATCTTGGCTAACTTCAAGAAATGTCTTTTCCCTTCTCTATTTTTTTCTTCAAGAGCAGTCTGCGCTATCAGGAGGATGGACTGAATCTTGTAGGTCAGGAAAGTATATTGGGATTAAACAATCTTATCTTGATAGACAGCCTTCATTAACATTGTAATACTGTGCCCAGTTCTTATTGCCTAAAGAAAATTTGGAATAACCTCAGAGAAGGTCCAATTGTTTCAAGTTCTCTCCTATGCTGTGATGTTCAAGGAGCTCACTTTTAATTCCTTGGTCCAAAAACAGACTGAGAGGCAGCTGGCTCTTTCATAAGATATTACATTTTTTCCCCCTCTCAGAAGTTTCACAACTAATCTCTTCCTTTCTGTTTTTTTTTGCTGTTTCTATTTGCTCTGTCATGTTAACCAGTCTAGATAATTAATCATTAGAATAGTTGACCTAGGGCTGTGGTACATTATTCATATTATTTCCATTAAAAACTTTTCTTTAAAGAACAAACAAAAATGACGACTCAGCTAGAAGTTATTGGCTTGATAAGAGATTTGCTTGAAGAGGTTCTAGGGCCTGTTCTATTCGTAGTGTTAGACTAGATTAACATAATAGCTTATTCTGCTCTTAAGAGCTCAGGCCATGAGTCTGACTTCCGCAATTCCAAGTAATAGGGCCTAGAGTCATCTTGTACCTGTTCTTCACACTTTGTCTTGCATGCTAACAGTACTGCATTGGGTAGATACTAATGTCCCTTGTTCCTGTCTGCTGTTTGCTGCAAGTCATGTCCGCTTCCTGGTGTTTGAGATCAACGTCAGTGCTCTTCTTGTTTGTCTTAAGTTTAGCATGTGCTTATCCTTCAGACAAATTGGGTTTGATTCGATGATTTCAGATGGGAGCCCATGCATTTACATGTGGTATGTGTAACCGAAATAAGAGCTTGTTTCCCTGTGATTCTGTTAGAACGGATGTATCGCTTGGTGAGTCCGCGGATCTTTGTTGGCAATGAAGAGCATGGAATCACTCTGAATAATACTATAGGAAACCATTCTTATTGTCAATATTTCTGCGAACTTTATTTCCTTTTTTTTCCCTTTGTTATTCCTCTGCCAGGTTATGTCCATATTCAGATGCACCTCATTAGAGGAGATGATCTTGCAGTAAAAACTAGCTTCAGCCTTCCTCTGAGGCAGTGGTTTCGACTGGATCTCTCCTTTAAGGGTGGACAGGTATGTGTGCTACTGGAACGAGAATGAGATTCGTCTGATTTGATTATATCTCTGACAACCGTTTTAACAGCTGAGGCTGAGAGAAGTAGTGCAGTTTGCACATGTTCACATAACAAAAGAATGAAAATCCCAAAATTAGAAATTGGCTGGATATGTTCAGACCATCCAACTCTGGGAAATCAGCTTAGATGCTTAAGGTAAGCGCCTAGAATTACTGTGTATTCGGTGGGTATTCTGGTGCATGGTTGCTGTCTGGAGACTTCAGACTATACAGGCAACCAGAGCTCCTAGCTAGATACCTTACTTAGATCGTTAAAGTTGCATGGTGTGAATAGCTGCTAGGGAATTTGGACTTAGAGGCTCAAATGTTTTTACCATTCTGATATGAAAATTTAAGTGTCTGGACTTCTGTGTACAGTAGCAGGCCTCTTGACTAGATGTTATTGTTAGCAGAGTTTTGCTGCTAAAAACAGAGTAACGACATTTTCCACTAAAACTAACGTTTTTTTGGTAATCTCAAGTCTACTCTTCATAAACATACCTTTATGTTCCGGTCCTCAGCCTAGGAAAAAAGCAGAAGGCATGTGCGGTTTCCTAAGTTTTGCATATTTGACAAAGCTGCATAGGATTGATTACCATCAAAAGACAGAAAAATATTGCACCATCCCTCTCTGGTAGATCAAAAACATAATTTATATTTTAATAAATCGCAATTATTTTTGCAAGAACCTTCCTAAAGCAGCTCTGAAAACAAGTCTATCTCCCTGCCCAAGTTCTTGTTTTGACCTCCTGCTATTAAGACGTTAGAGTGTGAAAATCATCAACATCTTTTCCAGTCTTTTTTCTCTCAGTTTCTTTCTCCTTTAAAATGATTGAATTGATTTCATTTTGCATCATAAAAATAATAGCTAATTAATCAGCAGAGTAACTGAAACAAATTGCAAGTATGAAGTGAAAGACTGATAAAGCTGAAACAGCGCAATGTAGTCTGAACTACTGCCATTCCTCTTGTACCCCACCTATATTTAAACATAAATATAAAATGTAAATGGTGCAACAGAGCCAAAGTTCCATAAAGCAGGCTTATCTTGCAAGAAAATCAGGTAGACGTGTACAATTATTTTTAATATAACATCGTTTTTAAGGTTATTGTTAAAAGGAAAGCTGAAATCAGTGTTTCCTTTTGTGCAGTCAGAACTGTCTTTCTCTGCTTGTTTAAACTGTAGTTATAATTTAAGCTTGTGGAAAAAGAATAGCATGTGGATTGACGCTCACATCTCAGCTGATTGAAGCTCAGCTTCAGATGCAAATGTAATTGCTGCTGTCAGTGTTGACATAAGGTATACTAGTGCCTTCTTGTTGGGAATTTGATGATTGCTTGTAAGATTAAATGAAAAAAAATATATTCTTCAGTCAGAGGGCAGCATGAATTTATTCAGGCATGAGGTAAGACCTGTAGTCAAATAATTTGCACTTCTGGATGAAATAAGGTAGCCACTACGACTTTGAATCAGGACTCTTGTGGAGAGCAGAGGAAGTAGAGCCACACTAAAAAGCATTCTAGTCCTTAGAACCATTCTCTGGGACAGATGAAGCTGTGTTTCAGTTCCATCTTATTGTCATGTCTTTCTGGAGCAAGTTATTAAATCCTCAAAAGGTACACAAGCATCTCCTTATTTAGGCACTTATTTCACTGTCATCCATTAGATATGTTTAGTCCGGCATGACCTTAGGCAAAATACATGAATTAGGGAAGGCTGGGGAAGTGAGGCGTCAAGAAATGGAGAGTCAGATTTTATGAGCATTTAAAGATGAATCCCTAAAGGTACCGAGGCACTTCAGATAGTTTTGCAAGGTGCTTACGTGAGTTCTTAGACAGCTTTTGAGAGCACCAACATGTCTGAAAATCCCATCTTAGCTTCTTTTTCAGGTATGTAAATACCTTTAATCGTTCTGGCACTGGAAGTCTACCTAATACATCCCTTGTAGAGGTAGGAGTTCAACCTGCACTTTTAAAAGTCTAGGTGTATTACTTTAGCCTTAAGGCCGTTCTTTACCTGTAAGCTACAACTTTTTGAGGAGATCGATATTCTTGTAATTTAGCATCTCTCCAGTATATAAGCAAAACAGCCTTTCACACTTTGGGAGAGCAAAAACTTCAGCAAAATACTAATGCCTCGTAAGTGAACATAGGAATGAAATAGCTGAAGTAGGCAACATCTGTGCTATTTGTGCTGTTTTTCCTCTCTCACTATTGGCCAGGACAGACCAGTGCCGATGCTTTCTGTTAAACTTTCCTAACATAAATCAGATAGTGACATCATTCCCTTTAACACAGAGGAGATACAACACGCTGCAGCTTTGATTTTCAAAATTTTGCATTATGTGGCTTAGACAACATACCTGACAATATTTAGTCTATTATAATTAATATTTTGTATTTTTTTAGATAGAAGTAAGCAGTGTTGGGAAGAATTTGAAAAGACGTCATCATCAGTCTTTTACGTAAGCAGCATTTTACCCTTTGCCAAGTAATATGTACATGTGTTCGGATGTGGAGAATGGGAGAAGGGGGGTACAAGCTTTTAGCTGAGATTCTAGATGACTTTCCAAATGTCAGCGCTCTTTTTCCACTCTTACACTCTCAAAAACAGCATGCATTACTGTGTTGACATTGAGCAAGATCTGACCATTTCTGTTGATACCATGAGTTAGTTGATGCTGCACAATGCATTACTGGAGTCTGATCCAAAGCCCACTAGAACTGAGGTCAGTGAGATCAGTCTTGGGATGAAATCCTGGCCTCACTGAAGTCAAGGGAAGTTTTGCTCTTGCTATGAGGGAACTAGGATTTCACCACTGACATTGTTAACTGCTTTGCTTACGTAGATAACAAAATCTTCTTTGCTTTTCAGTGGCACGATCATCATACCTCTCTTGTCAAGAGGTTTTGGTTTTATTATTTTTGCCCTATCCTTGATTCTAAGCAACTGAATCATATGTTACTTTTTAAAATCAAATCTTAAATTATTCCCTTTCAGTCTAGCTTAAAACCGACTCTCTCGTATAAATGATAAAAAAAATCTTTTCCTATGGAAACTATATAAAAATAAATTGCATGGCAGACTTCAGTGTTGTTCATTCTCTTCCCTGTTGTGGTTCACAGACTGGAAACTGTCAGTCTTTAGAGAGTAACTATAAGAGACAGAAAACTGAAATTTTCATATGCCATTTTTACAGAGACGTGCAGGTGAAATTGAAATCTTTGAGGTTGTTTAATGATGCATAAAACTTCACCTGCAGTGTCAGCAAAAGAAAACACCCTGATGTTTTAATGTTTGTAATGAAGGTATTTTTTAAATCTACTCCAGAACTTACAGTATTAGATTGCAGAATGGATTTTGAGGGTAAACAGCTGGGAAGAAGAAATAGATGCTGGCAATGAACTTAAGGCTGTCAGTTACCAAAGTTATGAGATATAAATTTCTTTTTTTCTTTCATAGCACCTCCTGATAGCTAGCTTATTTCTCTCTTACGTTCTCAAGTTTTAGGGAAGATTTCTATTATGATGACACCGCTGGATATTTTGTTCTTGGAGGCAGTGGATATGCAAATGGTATTGAAGCATTCTTTGGACCTGCAAAGTACTATCGTCTGAATGTGCTAGAAACAGAGCAGGTAAACAGAAGCAGTACTTGACAATGTTAGCAGCCAGCTATGGCTTTCTTTTACCTAGGGAAATTTCACTGGGATTGTAAGAGTGTTCGATGCAGACAGATACAGCACCTTTTTGTTTACTGAAGCTTCTTACCAAGTGATAAGCTTGCTATCAAGCATAATAAAACTTGAGAATATATAAGCAGTGTATGAGCATTTTCCACTGTAATCTAGGAAAGTTAGGTACTGCTTAAAATGCTAAAAGACAAGACTTGTAGAAATGGATGTGAAAGCAGTATTCCTAAACTTACATATAAGTAAGGACTTATATTTCAGTACTGCTCCGTTTCTCTGAGTTTTTGATGATGCGATATTGAACATATTTGTTTAATTTATGGTTTTGTTGAAACCAGTGATAAAAGTCCCATTGACTTGACTGAGATTGGAAATTCATCCACTGTATCTTGTATTATGCTAACTCTTTAAGGCCATAGTCTGTTGTAGTCAGCATCAGGTTATCTGGCACGTGAACATAATCCAGCTTTGTTGTGAACAGTCTCTTTCCTGAGAAACGACAAGTTTGACAGGAACAACAACAACAGAGTAGTTGTCGTTTATCCATTATTTTTCTTTGTCTAGATTTCTAACCCTCTTTGTGACAAAGAAACAATGGAACAAATTGAGCTCTACTATGAGAGATGCATGGACGTTCAAGAAATAGTTTCTGGGTACAAACGCATTGTAAGGCAAGGGCAAGCTGTGCAAAAAGATTGTAAGTATTGATCTGTGAGTTATGTATTTTAAACTGTCATCTTTGGAGACCTCTTTTCTTTTACCGGAGACTGGGTAGTGATTATCAAAAGTAAACCTAAATTTGGCCATGCACATAAAAAGAAAGAAAGAAAAAAAGCAAATTGAAAAGGTTTAGCCTTGTTGCTGTTGGCTAAAACTGTTTTTGTTCCTGCAAAAGCTTTCATACCATGGAATACACATTTAAATCATATTCTTTTTTTTTTTTTCCTGTAAAAAGACAGGTGCATAAAGGGAAAAAGAAGTGTTTTCAAGCTTAAATGTAGAACTATTAAATTTCTTTTCTTCTGTATCATTCCCAAATGACTGAAAAGGCGCATGTATTTTAAGTCCTTTCCCAAAAATGTACATTGTTTGCTAGAGTATCTCTTCCACAGTTGCCTAATGGGAAGAAATTGACAGGTTTATACCAAGGCAACCACTTTATTTAATATAAGAAGGGTAACACAACTTAAATGTGTGCTGAACACTGGTTTATGTTTCCAATTACAATGTGATTACTTGCGTTGTAACAAGATTATGGAAGAGAACAGAGTATATCTTCTGTATTTCTAAGTGACCCGTGCTAGCTATATCAGTTTTTAACACTGCTTTGTGTTAAAGATGTGCCTGTTTTGTCCATAAATTTTTAATTTATCCTAAAAACATCTTTTTTCTACTAGAAGCTTGTTTTAAAAACCAGCCAAGCCAGTTTTCAGGTCTTAAATATCTCATTTTCTCTAGGTGTCTGTGAAAACTATTATTCAGAGCAGATTCACAAATATGGAGAAAAGTCCAAGTGTGACGCCTTCATGTGGGGAAAAGAACTCAGGGAAAAATACCACAGTTTGTTCAAACTGTTGCGAGAGATGGATTTCAGTTCACCAGATGGTAATCGTCTCTTACCTTACTGTTCTGAAGTAACTCCACAATGCATGTCACATAGCTTGGCAGGCTTTGACTTCAGTTTGTGTTTTACATATTTTTTTTTCCTGTCAGTTAATTTAGCAAAGGAGTGTCATGTAGCTTACGTGTTGCATTGCAAATGAAGAATGGCTTATTATATAAAAGGCGTAAATACAGATTTACTTATGTTTTTAGTGGTTAGTTACTTTGAGATAGCCTTTTGATTTTGATTCACCATTCCTAGTCAATAGTTCCGCGCTTCTCTAGGAATTTCGGCAGTCTGCATTGAGAACGCTCTTTGGCTTGAGAAGGAATAGCAAAATCGAACTCAGGAAAGTTAAATTAAGGAGAGTAAATAAATTCCTAGTTTAAACTCTTGCAATAACTCTGCATCCTATGTTGTGTTTTTAGTGTTAGAAGATGAAAATGATACCATTCTAGAAGTTGGCTGGAGGATGTTTGAGAAGGTTGCAAAAGGTCTATCCAGTGCGGATGGCTTAAGCAAAACGGGCTCCTCTATCCCTTTCTTGGTGGATTCCAGTTGCTGTGGATACCATAAGGCTTCCTATTTCCTTGCAGTTATATTTGAAACAGGGCTCGGTGTGCCTGTGGATCGTACAAAGGTAGTATATTTAATACATTTGGTTGTGTCTGTGAAATTAATTACCTTTTAAAGGCAGTTTATAAGATGGGATAGGTTAAGGTTCGTTAGAAGAAAAAAAAGTGAAGTGGAAATGGCTTTTCTTGCCTCATCTGAGTACCAGATCCCTTTTCAGGCTGCAGCCTAAGCAGCCGAAGGGATTCCCCGATACAGCTACTTCTAAATAGCCTAATGGTAGTGAAATCTTTATGGCAGGAGTCTTTATCCTATTGATCCAGAGCAAGCAAACAAATGGTTTAGTAAGACTTAAAGAAGGAGGTAAAGTGAACAGCGTGGCACATATGGCTTTTCCCAGTCACTGAGAAGATAGGATGAGGGAGTGGCCCTTGAGTCACCCTCAGTCGATCACAGGGGGGGGTATGAAAAGGTCTCACTTTAGGAGAGTATCCTAATGTAAAAAGGTTGCGTAATACAGTTAGGAAAGAGGTCCCATGGCATATTGTGCAAAAAGTTTAATTAAGTTGCTAAACATAGTGACTTCTGAAACCACCTAGATTGCTCGTAGTTGTCTGAAATTGGGCGGACTGAGGAAGCACCTTCATATTTTAGGAAAAAATATTTTAGAAGAAAATTGACCATGGCTCACATGAGCAACTACACAGCATGTGAACTCCAAAATTTTTAGGTAGATTGCAAATAGGTGAAATGGTTGTATGTGTTCCACTGCAAGGTCAGATAACGGGGAGAGGAAGGGGAGATGTGTTTCTGTGTCACTGGAAGCAGACTTCTATATGAGCAGGTGTTCTTGTAATCAAAGAGTATAATTAATGCTATCATATACTGGCATAAAAAAATCACTGCACACTCAGTGATAGAGTAAGGGCAGTACCTGAAGAGTAGTTAGAGAGTCTCGTTTTTTTTTCGAAGCTTTCTATATGTATAACAGGCTTCATGGCTATGCTGGATTCTGTGTCTGTGTTTACGTGATATAACTCACATATTGGCTACTATTAGGAGCACTCTCTTCTTTGTATACGGCCTGTAAATCTCCACCAGCATGATAAATTTGTGAGATGTGCAGAGAATTCACTCTTACTTAAGTCTGTTGATTTTTGCCAGGGACTGCTGTATAGTTTGGTTGGCGCTCAGGGGAACGAGAGACTTTCTGTGATGAATCTTGGCTACAAACATTACCAAGGCATTAATAACTATCCAGTTGACTTGGAGCTGTCATATGCTTATTACAGTAATATTGCAATAAAGACATCCTTGGATCAACACACAATAACAGGGGAACAGGTAAAACAATTTTAAGTGTACCTGAATTCTCTATGCAAATAACTTTTCCTATGTTAATATTAATCATGTAGAGAGAATATTTCCTTCTTCAGGTGCCTATCCTTTAGTAAAATCTAAGTCTTATTTTTGGGCCCTAATTCCTCACTTAGTTTCTTATTCATTAATATAAATGGACAAAATTATTGTCTTTTCTGCTATTTCAATAGCTAAACTTCGTGAAGTTCAAGTGAAAGGTGAATTGTCATCTATGTATATCTTTTCTATAATCAAATATAAAAGATTTGGCCGTTTAATATCTATCTAAGGAGATACAGTTAACAGCAAAATCATTTCAGAACTAGCTGCTGAACACGAGACAACATGGCTTTGTCTGTAAAAATACTTCACAAGTTAGGCCAGTACTAGAGTCTAGGTCTATCAGAAGGAATTATTATTGATTATTGTAGTAGGAAAAAATAGATTTTAATTAAAACCTGGCAGAGGGACACCTAGATAAGAATGCTGTATCTTACGGCAGGTCTTCATTAAACTTTCTATTATGTTATCAGTTGCCTGTTTTTGTTTTTGTTTTTGTTTTGAGAAGATATTTCTGTACAAACTAAAAAGCATTAAAGATTCTTCTGTAAATATCATTGCTTTTGTTGCAAGTTTAGGAAACAAAAGAACTTCTTTGCTGTTAATAAGTGCATGTAAAGCTAAGAAGTTTTGTTCTATTATTGGCCTATTGGCATACCTTTCTGGTGTAGAGTGGATTTACAGTTTTGTACTGCTGCCCCCAGTGTTGATCCTGAGCCTGTCTTACCTTTAGTTATAGGGTATAGCAGAGTCATGTTATGAACTGCCTTTTCACCATGACTTCCTCTGTAGCATCACAGAAAGCTTGGCTTGGTTAGGTTTCTCACAACTTTTCTGTTACTTGAGGGCTGCTAGTACTTCTGCAGTCTCTGTTACCAGTAGGAAGTTTGGAAATTGCAAGTCTCCAAATATGCCATGAGTTCAGTTCTCAGAGTTGTTTTCTCTTGTGAAACTGGCCAAGGCTGTATGTGCAGTTATTTATCCCTCTTTTCTTCTTCTCTCATTTTTTTTTCTCTTCTCTTATACAAGACCTTCTTTCAGAATGTGACTCCAGGTGCCCATTTTGGGGGTATATCTGTGGCTTCTGGAGCCTGAAGTCGGGAATTATTTTTTTTAATGAGCTCTTCCAGCTCCTGGTGATGAAAAGGAGGGCCTTTACTTTATCTGGCTCCGTATCGTTCCTTCATTTTATTTTCTGACTTCTTTATCTTCTTTTTCTAAAGCAAATTGTATGCCTCTGGAAAAAATAGCTCCTTGTGCTGCTTTAGAGGAAGAGTCCTGAATAAGTCACAGATTCTTCGATGCCATAGTTCTCATTCCTAGGAGCAGTTCAGCTGGTTATCCTGGGAATGTCTGCCGAGCTGCATTGAGAAAGCAGACAGAAAAACGAGCCTTGTTTAGAAAGGGCTTGTCTGTATGCCAGTCTGCTTGCTACACATACTCTTGAAAGATTGAAAGGGACAGTGTAAATGATCTATCTGAACAAAAGAGCAAATGGTTTTACACTGGGTATAAGGATGTTCCCTAACGCACTGGCCAGCAAAGGGACAGTGAGAATTTTAAAACCCAGAACTGAGCACAAGTTTTTAAGGATAAGCAGGAAACAGGCAACATTTTCATTTTGGTGACAGGTGTATGAATTCATTGTGTAATGGTTTCCTTCTGTTCACCTACTTCTCAGGCATTTGTTGAAACTGTGAGGCTGATGGATGATGAGCTGCTGAAAGCTCAAACAAAAGAAAACGGTGATGTCTTTATGTGGTTAAAACATGAAGCAACAAGAGGAAATGCAGCTGCACAGGTACAAAGTAATACATTTCCTCTTCCTTGGCTTTGTATGCATATTGCCTATGTACAGCTGCAGAGTACACAGGAATGTTACTGAGGAGGACTGACTTGCTCTCTTCCCACTCAGAATTACTTCTTACTTGTGAGCTTGAGCTATTTCCCATGTTTCTGTTTCACAGTATCCAGTGACTATGCAAACGGAATGATGCAAGGCAAAAGGAAAGGGTGATCAAGACTTAGTATTGCAACCTCCTTCTCTGATCTCTGGTGTATATTTGACACTGTGCAGTTGCTGCTGCCGCTCTCAGATTAGCATCAGATGTTGTAACACTGAGGCATTTTCATGCGTTTACCAGTGCCTTTAGCATTTAGCTCTGCGCTTAAATCAAGCCAGACATTCATGGTACTGACACCTGCAAAAGCCAAACTTACTGTAGGTCTGTTATCAGCACATTTCATCATTGGAAACTCCCTCTGAACTTTCCTGATAACCAGCAGTTTTCAAACTGTCTAAAACATGAAACTTTCTTCGCATATCTAAAATCCATTTAAGCCTGCAAAAGTCTGTTCCTACAGTTCCAGGTTCAATGCTAACGTTTATTGCACTGGTATTTACCTTGTTTTCTCTTAGCAACGATTGGCTCAGATGCTGTTTTGGGGCCAACAGGGAGTCACAAAAAATCCTGAAGCAGCAATAGAGTGGTATGAAAAGGGCGCAATAGAAACAGAGGATCCAGTGCTAATATATGATTATGCCATTGTGTTATTTAAGGTAAGTCATATTTCATGTTTTCACTTCAGAAAATCATCCCTTTGAGAAAACAGTGTGTCACCGCAGTGACCTATTGTGGGAGCATATACAGTGCTTTTAGATTAGCTCTGAAAATCACTCGATAGTTATGAATCTAATATTACTTTTTACCAGATATGCACAAAAATATAAACAAGAGTAAGTTAAAACCAGTTTGGTCACTTTATTCCTAGCCAGATTCAGAGTCAAAATCCCATCAAAATCATAGACCCTAATTTTTCCTAGTGGCTTGGCACCACTGAAGATCTAACCAGTTAGCAGGCATAGGCCTAGGTGTAGAGATGTGGGTGGAAGTTAGATTGGTTCTCAGAACGTCCTTTCTTAGGTCTCTCAGCGCAAATTTTGTTTGAGCAGGAATTAACAGTCTCCCTGTGCAGTTGGGCCTTCTGCACTAGAAGCAGCAGATGACACAGGCTAAACTTGCAGGCGTAACCCTGCCTAAGTGTAATAAACTGTATCAGCTAAGCAGTGTGGCCCATAAGACAATCTAGCTTACTACAGATTAGAGATGTTAGTAAAGACCTGTTAGATATTCATCTCGTTCCTTTGCCAGTGGAGGGCTGTTCTCTACAAAGTGCTTGCTCAAGTTTTGCTTGTGTTAATTTTGAGCCTCTCTGAGAGTGGGGGGAGCCTCCCTGATCTGTTTGATCTGTGTCTGCAATTTTTTTATGTGGATATCATCAGCATTACATCCGTGCATGTCCTCTAGAGACACCCCAACAGCCTTTTTCAGGAAACGTGAGAGCTATTATCCGCTGCCAAATTGTGAACAGTCTGTGGGCCTATTGATGCTACTCATTCTTCTTTAATTACTGAAACTTACAGAAATGTGATGTTATTTACCCATAAAAATCACTTGGGTCAAGCGGTGAAATTGTTTTTCCTAAACTGGATCATTGAGCTTGTGTAAAGCTATGAAGGAATGATTGGCACAAAGCCGCTTTTTTACTCTCTAGAGTAAACTCTTGAGAGCTGAATAAGCCCTGATAAATAATAGCCTCAATGTAAAAATACATTTTGAATGAGTATATGTCAATTTTCATCACCTTGTATTGTGTATTTGTAATCAGTGATTGTTTCACTATCAATTTCTTAGGGTCAAGGTGTGAAAAAGAACACAAAACTTGCTTTAGAATTGATGAAGAAAGCAGCAGCCAAGGTAAAATATAATAAATATTTAATCATAATCATCTTATACCGGGTGCTAGTAATAATGAACCCGAATACATACTATCATAATTGTGTGTAAATACTAGTTGGTTCTCCCACCGGGACTGTTGGTAGTTCACTCGACTCTGTATTTAGAATTATTGCCTGCTAAGTAGCTGAACTCTTCCAGGCGGATGCTGGTGACCAACAAAAGACTGTACTCTCCCTCTCTCTCCCCTCATCATATATACTTCAAGAAGACACAGATGTCCCAAAAGCATCCACTTTTTCCACAGTTGGGAATAACACTGAGGGCACAACAGAGGAAAGGAGCCTCACTCCATTTAATGATCTATTACAGTCAGATAAGCCAAGCCATGTTCTTAGTGAGATTCCTTTGTATAAAAACATTACTGTACCTAGACCTTCAATACATTCCTAGCTCTAAACTTAGAATTAGTTAAACTGCTGACAGTGTCCATAGGGCTTCACTAATAACCAAATACAAATGTGAATACAGACAAGGCTGACACTGTATAGAATACGAAGATGCTAGAGTTGCATTTCAGGGAGGCATCATTCCTTAATGAACAGCCCAGCAGACCCTGAGGGAGTGTCTTTGCTGTGCCTTGCCTGGAGAGGGTTTGCTCTCAGCAGGAGGCCTTAGGGAAGAAAAGCAAAAAAAAAAAATGCCAGCAAACTTTTATATCCCTTAGTCCCAGCTGAGTGGAATTTTGGCTGGATCCATGTGTGAAGCATCTGGACAGGCAAGCTCACCAAAAACCCGCAGTCCGACAGCAGGTTGGAACCGCAAGGTGATCCATAGCAGAACCAAGTGTGTGACCTCAGTCTGCCCTTTTCCTTCCCCAAGGGCTTGCCCCAGGCCGTGAACGGATTGGGATGGTACTACCACAATTTTAAAAGAGACTACAGAAGTGCAGCCAAACACTGGTTAATTGCTGAAGAACTGGGAAATCCAGATGCGTCGTACAACCTCGGTGTCCTTTATTTAGATGGGATTTTCCCTGGAGTGCCTGGTAGAAATCAAGTGAGTAAATATTTAATGGTACTTTTTCTTATGGTAGGGGCCAGTTTACAAATTTTGGCTTCATTCTTGAGGCTGCTGTATTCGCTCTGAGTCAGATATTTTTTATCAGAGAGAACAGTGTTACTGGGAAATTCAGTCAGGTTGTTTTGAGAGAAGTTACTCAAATATCTCAGTCATACGTGTCTTTGTGTTCCTTTAATTTAGAAATAAAACAGGTGCAGCTTCAGCTACAAGGAGTACCCCTGCTTTCCTCCTTCCATTAACACCAACCATCTGCTCTCACGTCAACTGATCCATTCAGTTTCTCTCACATTTAGGTTGATGTGTGCCTGCAAAGTGGGCCATTTCAGAGTATATTACAAATCCCATTAAAAATGCCTACCAAATTGATTTTGGAATAAAAATGGAAAGGTCTTGGATTTTAAACCTTCTTAAGGACCTTAATTTTGCCACCATGACTCAGAGTAGCTACTCAGGTCAGCAGTAGTCCCAGTGACTTCTCTGGTACTTTATGGGGAAAGGATACTTCCCACAATAAAAAAAAAAAGCAGCAGAGGCTTGTCCCTGAACAGGTTAGAAGCTCTTCTAAACAGTCATGCTACATTCAGATAGCTTCTGTGAGCCTCAGCACCGTGTGAAAAGTTCTTCAAGCTAGACTTGCAAAATGTAATTCTCTAATATAATCCTGATAGGCTGCAGTATTTTATTTTGTCCTTCTGTGACACAGCCTATTTGTTTAATTTTAAATGAGTCAGTGAGAAAAGTTATTTTCCGTAGCAGGAAAGATGTACTTTGTCAAAGTTTCTTACAGGAAGTATAACCAAAAATGCCTTATGTAGGTAGTTTATGACCAACAGCACGTGCAGCACAGCAGCGCATACAGCACAACAGCACAGTGAGGCTATAATAAGTGCAAGCAGGCCTTTTGCTTGGAGCTTAAAGATGTGGCCTGCGAGTTCGGAAGTCTGGATATACTCCAGGCAGTGAGCATTTTACTGGCAACAGCAGCAAGTGCTCAGCAACATGCATTTGACAAACACGTTTTCCCTTCTCAGGGACCAAAATACACAGTTCAAAATGGACTACTCGTAAGAGTGCCCAGGTTTCTTTATTCACCACACCAATGGGAAGAGAAGCACTTTGTTTTGGCTCTTGTGGATATTCTTTGTTTTGGCTCATGTGGAGTCCATGATCACTCACATAAAAGAGATGTTGGTGGTTAAAAAGTTCTTGAAATATCTTATCTCAGGCTATATGCTGCTTTGTTTTGCATTGCAGGTTACTTTTTTCTGAGGGTTAGATATGGAGGGTCACACAGCTCTCCCACTTCTGCAGCCCTGGCCCTGCCTACTCACCCTGCGTTATGTTTTATCACTCAGTTTCGTAGGCTTGGGAGCTGTGGCTCTGGGCTGCAAGACATACTGAGAAGTGCCATTGCTCCTCAGCATCCCAACGTTCCCTGAGACATCTCCAGCATAAAAGTCCTGTTCTGTCTCTCTGCTCCGGAGTCCATTATTAATCTCTCTGCTAGTGAATCACTGACCTGCTTTTGTCGGTACACGAGGCTTGTATGCTGCGAGGTGCCAGTTACTCGTTTATATACTTTTCTATCTGACACTTAATATATTAGCAGAATTCCAGTTTTTAAGTAACTTTTTTCCTGCCTAAACAATTAGAAAGTTAGAACAGAGGAAATCGTTTTGCCTTACTGCACTAGAAGTAGTTAAACTGACCTGGCCTCTTTAGCCAATTGCCTTTTCTATTTAATGAAATGAGCCCTTGAAAGCAGAGTGTAATAAGCATTAATAATGCAGCATTGCTAATTGTGTCTTGTTTCTTCACAGACAGTAGCTGCACAATATTTCTATAAAGCTGCCCAAGGGGGACATATAGAAGGGACTTTACGATGCTCTCTGTACTACATCACAGGAAATATGGAAGACTTCCCTAGAGATCCAGAAAAAGCTGTAATGTAAGGAATGAAACCATTTGTTAAAGGAGAATGTTTCTCTGGTTGGATTATTTTGATTATTGGCATTTTAAAATATCTTCTACTGCATGGTGCTTTCCTCGCTGAGAAGCAGTTCCCCCGCATTTAAGTTTGATCCACGTGAATATGTGCATTATCTAAATAGCCAGCAGATTTTCAGAAATCCTGAGTGCTTTTAGTAAAATTCCAGATTTGCAGGCACACAATCTCTTGAGTTATTCTAGGAAAATAAAAATCAGGTACTGTCTAGCAAAGCCAGACATATTTGCTCACCAAGAGATATCAAGCTCCTGATGTGGTAGAATTGATATTTTCCATGGACAGAAAGGGTGATGAGTAGTTACAGCACTTTGTTTTCTTAACAGAAAAAGAAAGTAGTTTTGCCAAGGAAAGATGATCTCTCTGATGCACTCATGGAGATATATGAACAAATACGTTCTCATTCAGTCAACAGTTAAAAGCTTGATGCAGCAATTACTATGAAATCCCGTAGTATGTCTTATGGGAGAAGTCAGGCTAAATGATCTCACATCCTTTTCTGTCCTTTGAGTCTACGTGAATGGGGATAACATTACTGAGGGTTAGCTGTTCATTTATTATTGTTTGTTTTTTCAACAGCTGGGCTAAACACGTTGCAGAGAAGAATGGCTACCTAGGTCATGTCATCAGAAAAGCTCTCAATGCTTATCTGGAACTTTCGTGGTATGTTTGTTCTGTTTTCTTTGAGTTCATTTTCTGTTTCTTATTAATGTACTAGCAAAAATAATTAACATTTGGCCATCACCTCAAAAAATGCAAGTTGTAGGCACCTTGAAATCGTTCGCAAAACACCTATTGACATAGAGGGAAGGAGGAATTGACCCAAGGCATAATTCAACAATTCTGACAGAATCAAGTGGAAAAGAGAGAGTTCACAGAGTGGAATGTCAGCCAGGTATATCTGACAAGGCCCGCACCATTCTGAAATTTGGGAGAGTTTCTGAAAGTGCATTGTTGAGCAACTACATGCTATATCTCCCATGTCATAGAAACTCAGGCTGTTGGATCAGATTTGTTCTTTTTTAGTAAACAGTTAATATTCTCTTCTCCCTGAAGCATAACAAGCCACAATATCCAATGATCCAGTCTTCAGACTTAGGAGAACTCACTGCAAGAAATGCTCAGTGGATCATTTTGGAGTAACCCATTTGTGGGAGAAGTTTCTTTTTAGTTTAGAACTAACATCCCAGCTTAGGTATCGTGAGTTAGTCCTGTGGTGTCAGGTCTCCATTATCGCAGATATTTTTACAAGACAAATACAAGGAAGAACTTGGAATCTTGCAGAGGCAGTTGGGAAACAGGAGATTAACCCTGCTTGTTCTATAAGGGGCAACAGACGACAGCTTTCACAATTTTATTTCAAGTTTCTTGGCTTAAATCCCTGCTCCGGATGTCAAACGTATATGTGACTGTATTTGCTGCCAGTTAAACAAGGCAACAAACCCCCAACCCTGCCATGGTTTTAACTTTATGTTGTGGAGACAGTCGTTGAAACCATAACCCTTAGAAGCTTTGATAGGAAAAACTACGCAAAGACTGACCTTTCTTGTATCTCAGACTTTTAAAACCAAACACCTGATTTTTAAAAAAGTCTACCTTTAATTTTTGAATACTTAATGTTCATAATATTGAGTAGATCAGTGACAGAGAACATGGAAGAGAAGCTATCCTCTGGAATCAGAGGCAGTGCTGTACCACTGTACTGCAGTACTAAAATACTATGCGGCAAATGAAAAATTAGCTTGTATTACTTGCTTTAGAGTAGTGCCTAGAGTCCACAGAGTGACTGAGAGTGTTCTCGAGCTGGTTCACTTGCTAATTTCTTGTTCCACAGAGCTTATAGTCTAAACAGACAAGGGAAATCATAGAAAGAAAAGGATAAAATGTACCAAAGAAGTACTCAGATTCCTGTTTGACAGATATTAACACAGCTGTGTGAAGTACAGAGTTTAAGTGGAGGATTTTTTAAGTAAGTTTTATCTGAAATATTTAAATAGATAATTAGGCTTAATATCAATTCAGTTTTATCATCAGTCTTGCGCTCTGAAAGAGCAAATGCTCACTGGAGCTGCTCTGGCCTTAGTACAAGAGAGGAAACTGAAGTTTCTTGAGATCCCGCATGGTTTGTTACACCAAGCATTGCCAGTAGATGTAGCTGTTGCATGGCTTTGCCAGCCCCTTGCTTTTAAACCTTGCACCCAAATTTAGTGCTAAGTGATTGTATCCATTTATTTAGTACTTTTTAGCTATAAGGAAAATGCTTGTGATTTTCGTTAGGTTTTCCACTGATTTATTTTATCTAATACTAGGCATGAAGCTCTGCTGCATTATGTTTTAGCAGCTGAAACTGGGATTGAAGTGTCACAGTCAAATTTAGCACACATCTGTGAAGAAAGACCAGTAAGTAAATGTATTCACAACACATTATCCTGAAAGGAATACTCATTAATGATAATGTGATTCTAATATCTTATCTGTGATGTAAATGGATTAATTTATTTTCTTTCCAGGACCTAGCAACGAAATATCTAGCAACTGATTGTGTTTGGAGATACTATAATTTCTCTGTTTCTCAAATCAGTGCACCCTCATTTGGTATGTATGAGGAGCTCTTTCTGATTTCAGGTCTCTAAAGGAGTGCAGTTTTAATTTTCCAACGCTGTATTTCTAACAACTTTTGTATGAGTGAGCAAGCTAAGGGAAGAGTAAAGGCCAAATATGGAGTTTTGTATTTTTTTCTTCTCCATACTCAAATTGTATCGTGTGCTAAAAGCTAATCTGTCTCTTTCTTTTTGCTCTTTCTTCTTTCTGCAATAACAAGACGCAGTGGTTGATCTTCTAGAAAAATGCTGTACAGTTTTTTCTAAGTGTCATCTTTAAATGAGAAATCCCTGTTTTTTCATTGACTTCCTTTTTAGAGTGTTCTAACAGGAACATCAGAAGAAATATATTTAAAGAATGTATTTCAGAGCAGTTCTTCTGAGAATTTTCCTTTTATGAGATAAAATGGATAAAACTTTAAAAAAAAGAAGAAAAGTTGAGCTCTGAGAGAGGGCTAGGCATTTAGGAGCCTGAGCAATTGACTCAAGGGTTAAGAAAAAAAATTAGCAGTAGACTTTAAGAGTTCATCCTGTTTAGTTTATCAAAAAGAAAATCCAAAAGCAAATATACTTCCATATCATAATTGAGTCATGAGAAACTAATGGAGGCTAAAGGATTCCTTATCTAATTTATTACGAGTTTTTCTGTTAGGGTACAAAGTTTGCTAACATTGAGACAGATTATCTAGGGGGAATTTAAGGATTCTCTGTCTCTCTAAAACAAAATATATGCCTTTCTGGAAGAGAAGGTTTATTCAAATATTAGGTGCCTTTTCTCTGGCCCCAAATTCTAATACATCTCTGACTTCAGTGACTAAGTAATTTTGGTGCTTTTGAAAGAGCTACTCAATGTTTGAAAACATTGATCTGATTGTCTCACAAGAAAGTTTGAATGTTTTGTGGTAAGCACGTTAACAAGTACAGTGTAAAAATAATTCAGGCTGTTCATTGAAATGCACAGCAGCATTGAAACTAAATACCACACTGACAGAGCCTAAAGGTACAGGAACTCACAGCCCCTGATAGCTTTTGTGAAGAGTTTGTAGCCTGCTTAGCAAGGTTCAGTGTGGCTGGACTCTTACAGATCCACTGGTGCAATCGGACATTACAGAAGCTTCTGAAGTTCAGACTCGCAGCAGTAAGACTGTGATTCCAGTGAGGCAAATGACAGAAGATTCCTTGGCTTCAGTGAAGGAAGGATTTTATTTATCTCTTCTTCACATAAGTCACACATGGGGAGTTTTGTCTTGGGCCCCCGTCTGCAATAGTGGAGGAGGATCGAGTTCCCTGTGTGGGTTTTGGGAGCTGAACCCCGGCAGCAGAGGCTCCCGGGCTCTACCATCAGCACAGCGCAGGGTGACTTCCAGGCCACTGCTTATTGCTGGCCTGCTCCCATGGCCAGGGCTGGAACGATTCAGCTGATACGTGCAAGGGAAACCCTCTTCTTTACAATTCACTACAATGTTCGGGTGCCACATGGTCAGCTTCAGTGCCAGCCACGCCATGTAGCCTGTCTGCAGCCTTTGCTGTTGGGGCAGTGACTGACAGCAGGTAGGTGAGATGCCGCACTTGCTTCCTGGAAGAGCTCTGCTGTAGTCCGCTCTAGAAACAAATGGGATTTATAGGTAGCTGACGTTGTCGACACGCAAGGCAAGGCTTTGAGGTATTTCAAACCATTCTGGGAAAGCTTAGCGCAGACATACTCGTAAAATTCCACAAACTCTTTTGCATACTTTAGTACGACGACGTGCTTGCTCCTGTCTGAGTCAGTGCCCGCTCTGGTGGAGCATTTCTTTACTATGCAGTACCAGAGAAAGACGTTCATGAAGGATATACTAGCTATCACTTCCTTTTAGATCAGGAGAAGTCTTCCCCTACAGTTGTCCTGGAATTGGGTGGTTTTGAAACTAATGAAATTAGCTTCAGCAAAGTTCTATGTTTGTGGGATGGGTACAGCTACCATAATGACAAGCACAGAATAAGCGCCTAAATGGCATGTTTTTAAGTCTGATAAGTTAGTAGGGCTAACCTAAATAGTAGGGCTACAGTTCCCACAAAGGCATACTCAGTAAGTAGAGAAGAAATACAATATAAAGTCTTTAAGTCTCAGTTTTTTTAAAAGTAGCCATGTTATTCACTAAATTCATCTATTCAAGAGCAACTAAGAGAAATTTCAGCCAGGATAAACATTTTCATTAGGTAGTGTGATGTGAAGTAGTCACAGTGACAATCGGAGAAAAGGAGTATCTTTATTTTTAATGTGCTGCTTTAAATAGAATTATTATTAAATTCTCCCTCACATTTCTAGTTTAGTTCTGTCTCTGCAAATACTTTAAATGATCAGTTACTGTTTTCTTCCACAGCTTATTTGAAAATGGGAGACTTCTACTACTATGGTTACCAGAATCAGTCTAAAGACCTTGAGCTCTCAGTACGGATGTACGCACAAGCTGCATTAGAGGGAGACTCACAGGTGGGTCTGCAGTTGTAATGTGTTAGTGAAACACCAGTGTTTAGAATAACCTGAAGCTAGTTATTCTGCCTGGCTACATGTGTGTACTGAACGGACCTGCTAGAATAAGTTTGTAATTATTTCAAAAGACCTTATGAGTCAGTATTTGCTGTTTCATGATAATAGAAGATAGAATGTCTACCTACCTAGAATAGGTAGACAGATAGCCTAGAATTAGGCTGTTTTCAAAGCTAAATGGCCTAATTCAGTGCTACTCTGGTTTGACACAGTTGATTGTTGATTCTGTTGTGACCTTTGTATTTTCACTAATGCAAGTTAACAGACTGCCTGAGTTTTATTCCAGTACTAGTCTCTGCTGTTTTAGGATATAAACAAGAAGGTTGGTCCATTTCCCTTCATATCTTCATGTATAGAGTGAATCCTGCAGTGAATTATTTTCACTGCATTCACTTTGCCAACAAAATCATCAGCGTAAAATGTTTTGTAATGAAAAGATACACCACATCACATTACCATGCAGTTCACATGCAGCGTTTTTCCTGCAGTCTCCTGGAATATCCCCAATGCGGGGGATATGCTACCATAATGACAAGTTACAGAATAAGCGCCTAAATGGCATGGTTTTAAGTCTGATAAGTTAGTAGGTTTGTAGGCTCATATCCCCAGTGCAGAGCAATATGCTCTCCCTGTCGCCGTGACACTTCCCCAGGACAATATCTTGTATGGGAGCTTAGTCAAATTAGCAGAGCTGGGTTTTGTTCTGAGGATATTAGGACAAAACATTACTGATCAACTAGCAAAGCAAAAAAGTGACACATGAACAGTTATTTTAAAGCGTGAAAGCCAAACGGAAGGTAAATCCCGTAGTAGCTTTCCTACATACTCATCTTTATGCCTCTGAAGTCTGATGCCTAAGACTTGTCCAAGTAGGAAAAATTATAAGATTAAGGATTTAAATTGCTTGGAGCAAATTTCTGCTCTCAGAATCACTGTTGCAATTGCTGTTGGTGTATAGAGAGCTAGGTGTAAGGGAATTAAATGCTAACAGAACAGAGTATGAGTCCATTTCTTCTTTCAATCTGTATTTCTCCTGTGGATAAAACGTGACAGTTTGCTACGGTGGCTCTGTTTAAGTGCAGCTAAAAATGAGAAAGGTAAGAACCTCTTTCAGCTAGTTTTCTAACAAAATAGTTGATCAGTGTCACAAAAAATGAATGCTAGTTCTTTTGCAGTTTCAGTATTCACCTGAATATAAGGTTGGGAAAGAAGGCTGTGTGATTATTCAGTGAAGATCACACGGCTCACATTGTAATTCATTTTTGGAAGATGGTTATAATTATTTAGGTATTTGATGCTTACATTAGACTTTAAATATAACATATGAAAACGTAATTATTCAAAGCGTATGTATTCTGTTTATTGTTAGGGGTTCTTTAATTTGGCCCTTCTCATAGAAGAGGGTAACTCCATACCTTCCTATATTCTGGATCACTTGGAAATTGATCAAACTGTGCATTCTAGTAATACTTCACTTCTTCAGGAACTTTATTACAGGTGAGTCTTTTTCTGCTTTATCAGGAAACTTCTCAGTATCTTCTGTTTTTCCAGGTAGGTAGCATTTACTTCTGAGAGCAGCAACTCCTAGAATTATTAACTTAGTTCACCTGTATGATTTAAGGCAGATTGCACAGAGGTAAGATCAACATGCTCATAATGGGTGTTAACCTTAAGCTGCCTAAGTGTACTTCAATTGCAGCTAGTTATGAGGGATGAGATTACAGATGGTTACCTGAAATACCAGGGAATGGATTTAATGATCCAGGAGGTCTTTTCTAGTTCTCTGTACTTAAGTTCCCAATATAGGCACTGACAATTTGTATGCTGTGCAAAATAATCTTTTAATGATAAAAGTGGCATAATTTAATAAAGAATTGTTAAAAGTATGTAACTTGGCTAATAGCAGTCCTTCCTACTTACTCCGCAAAGACATTTTGCTTTTTCAAGATACTTTAGTGTATTCCTGCTCTCATTGTGCCCCAAAACATCCTGGCACAGATGTTCTGGCACACAATATCAGATATGTGAGAAAGCTACAGATCTGCTTTCTGAACTGCCTATACCGAGAGTCCATGCACAAACCACCTAAAGAACTCTGGTTCCAGTACAGAGCTTAGGTTCCCTTTCTCTAGGTAAAGCAACGTGTGCTGGAAAAGCGCAGTGGGGATGGAAAGCTTACACAGTATTTGGTCGTTCTGCAAAACTGTCTTTCAGATATTAGAGGAAGGAGGAGCTAGTGATTAATACATTGAACAAAGAATGAGTGCTTTACTTTTTATTTTGCCAGTGTTGTGTGTCCCTAAAAAGTGAAGATGATATCAACAGTAAACAGCCATTTGTCAGTTCACCAATAATCCATTGAAATTGTTCTTCACTTTAGTTAGCCTGAGCTTGTACTTGTGCCGAAGTTACCTCCAGTCTACACAAAACCCCTAATCAGATAAATAGGGCTTACTGCCCCTGTTGGTCCAACTGGAACTGTAAAGTTGAGTCTGAATTCTGCTTTCACTTGGGCTGAACCCATCTGCTTTGCAGTGAGATTAACTCCAGAGCTGACAGCCCTGGAGTGATTTCTCATCATCCTGCACTTCTGTCTGCAGGGGGGCGCACATGCACACACACACCCCGACCTCCTCAGCTTGGCAGGAAAGAATCAGTTGCAACTTAAAATCTGTAGTTTAGCTGTCTAAACTCCTCTAGTCAGTGAACTTCTCATTAATGGACCTTCGAAAGCTCACCCCACAGCAGATGCCCAGTAACTACTCAGCTAAAGCAGTCATTAAGCTCTGACTGCCTTACTTAGCCTTCCACTATCTGATGTGTCTTTCACAATCTCATGCATAGACAGCTAAATTTTGTAGATCTAACCTTGACATGAATCCTACGGCTATTGACTCACATTAGTTAGAACAAAGTAACTTGGATATGACCTTGTACCTGACTGCTTGGCAAGGATAGGCTGGATGCTTAGACCGGTTATTGACTAGTCAGAAAATAAAAGCATGCTCCTAGGGTAAGATCTTCTGTACTGAATGAGGCTAATCTGGTATTTTTATGCATTTATACTTCACCGTCTGTGGGATGGTGATAATAGCATCTGCCTGTTTCTCTGAGTTACCGAGGTTTGTTGCAAACAGATGACAGATGTCACAAAATTGCAGAGTAGGACTAATTATTTGTTTTAATCTTTTTGTTGTAGATGCTGGAATTATAGTAACCAAGAGTCAATTAGCCCATGCTCATTAGCATTGCTTTACTTTTATCTAAGAGTTTTCTGGAACAATATTTTACAATCTACTTTGGTAGGTATTGTTCCTTTGGTACAAGCACTGGTTCATGTGGAGCAATTTGCATTGATCTAATATGTTTTTAAACTTATCCTCACAGATATACTTCATGGGAACCTTTCTTTTATCAGTTCTGGTTGCATTTACAATGCAGTATTTTCAGTCTCTCTCTGGTAAGTATTTGTCATAGTAAAACTGCATAAAAGACAGAAGAATGATCTTTTTATTTCAATATGGAACTTTAAAAATAAAACCAAGAATTCTAGATTTGGTAGCGCTGCCTATGAACAGCAGGTTCTTTGACATGCAAATCGTTCCTTGATTATTGAAAAGGGCTGGATAAAGTCGGGCACAAATGACTGGTTTAAACCTGTTAGTTTCTGGAGAATTTTCCTTGATGAGAGAGTTGCTCACAGTTACTTAACATAAACCTTATCAGCAGGAGATTATGAGTGGAAATAAGAAGCTATTTCCTGTCCCGCAACATGTGGTATTGTTGGAATAATTATATGACTTTATGATTTCATATGTTGTTTCCGCAACATGTGATGAGCCTGTGTTCCCTGTTGTGACTGGTCTCTGTTTGGATACAAAGTGGGAGTAAAGGTAAGGTTCAGAGAGGTAGTACAGTGAAGTGACTTAGGAGCAGACAATTCATGCCCCTTCAGACCAGTAATAGAATCAGCAATTAATTACATAAAATCAGCAATTGCATACTTCTTCTCCTCTCCTGCACTAGAAATTTTTTTCCGTATGTTCTCTTTTCTGACAGGATAGAGGTGATTAAGAGACAGAAAACTAAGCATCAGGCTTCCATCTCTTAAAACTCCATTTTTTTTCTCCCCAGCTTGAAAGAGATACCAAAGAAAAAACTATATTGCTTAGGAAAGAAAAAAAAAAAATGTCTTACGCAAAATTAAGGAGTCATTCAAAAATCATTGATAGTTTTAACCCAATATTTCACTTTAAATCACTATACAAGATCTTGGTCAGGAAGGTGTGAAATGAATATTAGCAGTTATGAAGAGAATTTCTTCCACTAAATGCATTTTCTTGCAAGAATACTGTTTTTCTGACAAAATATTTTCTGTAATAAAACACAGGAAAAATAAGTTCCTAAGTTCCTACCCTGCACCAATAGGGAATACTATTTAAGAAAAAATTATCTCCAAAAACATAAAATTCAAATAATCTTTTTGTAGTTAATAATTATTAAGCAGTATTTAAGACATGTAGCTGTAAATGTATCTACTATGCTAATCCTAGAAATCCTTCTTTCCTTTCTTACTAGCTGATAATGGAGGTAACTGGAGAACCATAATGAGTATGTGCAAAGGGCATAGTTAAAGTTACCGGAATTCTTATTTTAATGTTTCCTAACCTTTGAGTCTTGTCTTCTGAATATTGTTTATTGCTATTTTAATTCCACTTAATATTGATGAGTATACTTTATCAGTGCAGTGGATTCTTTTAATTATTTCTTTTGTTATTTTTCTGAAGCCAATAATTCTCTTGGAACAAGATCAGAACCTTCTTTAGATGAACCTTCTTCCATGGGGAATAATGAGGATGCTACCAGACCAGAACAGCAAGATGAATCTACTTTTTCAAATGGTTTAGCACAGCAGGAGTTAAACCCTCAGAATCCTCTTGTAACCAGCTGAAGGGTAGTCGTCTTTAAGGCTGATAGCCCACTGTGAGGGTGGGATATGAACAGTTACAAATCTAAAAACTGGCAACCTTATTTGTGGCATTAATGATGCACTCCAACAGCCAAAACCACAGAGAAAGCCACTGACCTAATTTATCCATTATAGAGGAGAAAAAACCCCTGTAACTTCTTTAACACAGTCCAAACAAAGAAAACTGATTTTCTCACTAGACCCAAACATGATCATACTGTATTTCTTTAAGGGGCTAGAAGGAAAAAGAGACAAAATCTTTGCCTAACTAACTGAAGCATGAGCAAAAACTCCCACTGGTTTCAGTGAAGAACAGATTTTACTCACATAACTAAAATCTAATGGAATTACCTTTACCACATTTGAGCTTGTTGTACTGATGTAGTTAACAGAGTTGCAAGCGTGGACACAAGACAAAAATGAAACCGAGCCACCTGCACTTTCCACAGCACATAGCCAGAGCCTTGGCTGGTGCAGGCAGTGATAACAGTTACTTTTTGGGCATGTCATGTTCCATCCTGGACAGTCTTTCATGACAAAAAGTGTTTTCCTTTTAAAGGAAAACTCATACGAGGAAGATCTGCAATATGATCATGACATGGTAGTTCCACTGGCTTTGACTCCTTGAAGAGTCAAAGTGTCAAAGTGTCAGCAGTTTCCTGGGGAACAGAGTAATTAATGCCTCCCGCAACACACCCCCACCCAAGCGCCCACTCACGAGAAAGTAGCTTCCTTAAAAGACGATAAATGAATATTAAAGTGTGGACAGGTGACACAAAGTAAATGAACAATTTGTTTTCAGATTCTTATATAGCTAACATTGGGAAGGGTTTATTTGGGGCCTATAGTAAAATTTAAATACACCTTTTTAAATGGCAATTTTTTTGATAAATGTTTAGATGGGATTGTACAGATAATATGTATTAGAGTGGGGATGTCTTTTGTCTGATTTTAAGCTGTGAGGTAAGTGGCTGTAGGAAGGGTCTGACCTTTAAAGCAGGTGTGCATGCACCTCTGCAAAATTATTTAAATCACATAGATTATAAATTGCATCAGTCTATGCATTATTGAGGGTTAAATCCACTCTCCTTGCACTACATTATTTACTCTTGTAAATAAAAATATTTTTCTATTTCAGACTATATGTATGTGAAGGATTTTTTTTTTTTTTAAAGCTTGGGCCAATAGGACAAACGGGGCAATCCACCATTGCTTTGAAGAATACAGAGTTCTCACAGAGCAAATCCTGGAACTGTTTTTATTTTTTCCATCAAGAGGTAGAAGTTTTCAGTAGAAAGGAAATGATGAAGTAATAATTTGAGAGAGTGAAATAAACGCATACATGCATACCCCCCCCCCGTTCAGTTTATGTTTCTCCTGTAGAAAATAAAAATCAAAAGGTTTATAGAAAAAGCTAATGCTTCTAGCCAGCAGTTTCATTTAGTAAGGAAGGGGATTTTGAAGCTTTTTTTTCCCTCCATTCTCTTCCTTCAGCAATACAATCCAAAGAAATGAATTAGATATGCCACATTATTGGAGTTTTTATTTATTTTTAAGCAAGAAGAGCAATGCAAATGACAGAATTTTTGTTCTTAGTACAGAGATAAAAGCTCTGCAAACTGCTCAATAGCCTCTATGTATAGCCTTGTAGTCCTTTCTACAACGTACTTTCAAGGAAGATAAAGGAACTTCGCTCTTAAATTATAAACTGTTGTTGACCTGCACAGGTTATATAAATCCTGTGCTTTTGTTATCCATTGCAAATAGATCATGAGCCTTTTTGAGGCTGTTTAGGCTTGTAAAAACCTTGTGCTGCTAAATTTGATAGTATCAGATTCCTTAACACAAATGTATGGATATTGTCAGTGTTTTCCCAACAAGTGGTCTGACATCGTTTTACAATAGTGGACATAATGTGCATTTGTACTGAAAACAGGACATGGTGAGATGGTGAAACCGGAATGAGGTGTATTGCAGAAAGTCAAGCACAGTCTTTGAAAAAAAGTAGGCCAATTGTCACAGCAGAGGCACAGTGTTGTGCACCAAATTTTACATGTTGTTAGAGCGGTCACAAAAAGAGCAAAACTGTTTGAACATAAGTGTGACAAATCTTGCATCTAGTAAGCCATGCATGTAAAGCTTTTTTACTATATATGCTGTAAGCTATGCAAGTGACAGGATCACTACACACACACACACACACACACACACACACACACACACACACACAAAAGGACACACAAATTAAAACAGCACTAGTGAGATATTAATCCCATGGAAGTTTGTCTGTCATGGTGTAATTGCAGACTGTCATACCCATGTGCTGAAATTATGGAGTTCTCGGAGCAGCTGTATTTTAGGTTTTGTACACATAGGTCAGAGTTAACTGTTAGCAGTTAGCGTGACTGCAGTTTCCTATCCAAAGGGGGTTCATGTTCTCGGCTTTTGTACTGAACTGATTGGAGGAGGTTTGCCAGAAATGCAATTTCACATCTGTATCTCAAAAGACAATTGCCAAAGCTGCAATATACTTCTTGACGCCAACAGTTAATAATTAGGTCTTTGTTTATTGTTAGCTATCACGTCAGAAGTTCTACCAAGGATAATTGACATCAAAGCATGTAAAGATAAGCAACACTCCACAATAAATTGGCAATACTTAAGGCTGAATAATTATTTAATTATTATTCATCAGTTAGTTACGATAAGATCTGATTTCTAGGAAGCTATTTGAAAACTTAGAGAATCACGTGCAATTCCCAGAGAGGATGGATAGTTAAGCTAAGCAGCTACATAATTCTACTGCATCTGCAAGAAAAAAATATATAAAAAAAGTTGCAGTAATCAAACATTATCTTTCCTAAGCTGAAACAAGACCTTTGACATTTGTATTATCGGCAGCCCACACTGTGTGTTTAGGATAGGAGCGTGGAAATATTAAAGTAATTCCAAAAATTAGAGCTAAATCACTGCTTGTTTATATTTCATAGAAGTCAAGAAGCACGGGTTTGAAAATAAAGTTTTTGCAAAACTCAACTGGTGCTTAAGGCAGTTTAAGTGGTGTCCATTTTCCTCTTTGCCTCTCCTCCCTTCTCAGAATCATTTTAGCAAATCAGAATCATTTTAGCAAATGAATTATAGCACAACTTCATCAACAAAAAAGTTCAGAGTGGTTATTTCAAAAATAGGTGCCCAATTGTTTATCTAATATTGATGCACAATTTACAGTAACTGAATAAAGAGATGTGTGTTACTGCAGGTGACTAGAGAGAAATATTACACACAATGTATCAAGGTGCTATGAAAGGGGAGAATTACATGCCAATTACAGAGAGAGAAAATAAGGTGCTGTGAAGCTTAAGCTTCAAAAATAAAGTCAGTGGTGAGTAGTTCTCTGAAAGCTCAACATTTCTGAAGATTATGTAGTAGGCGTTTCAAACTGATTATCCAAAACTTGCAGGTATTCTGAGGAGTTTGATTAGCTTTGAGCTCCTCAGCAAGGCAGTGACAGGACTGACTGCAGGCAGCCTTATCTGGGCTGATGCTGACCACAGCATGATGCTGCTTCCCATTTCCTAGTGATGAGCAATACGGACCAATGTGCAAGCATGAATGTATGCTTTAAGTAACACGTTCATGTTTATTAAAAAGTCATGCTTTAAAATAGAAATCTATTCAGTGACCAAAATGGGCCAGTACCCAGGAATTTGTCCTGGTCCTTTTGCAAATATGTACTACAAATACATTTCATACTGGGAAAGCATTATAGATGCTCTTCACAAGCATGCAGGAAACATGAAACCATCCCTGCAGAGACTTGTTTTCTAGCACATTCTCAGTCTGCTTAAGCTGTCCCCATTGACTTTAAAGGACTATGACATTTAAGACTGGCTGACCGTTGACCCTAATCCTGGATGAAGTGCAGCACAAAGATATGAAAACAAGTTGAATAAACTCTGGTTTAGGACTTACGCTCCCCACCAAAAAAGGAACAACAACAAAAAAACCTGCACACAATTATACAAGCTAGATTAAAAGACTGGGATGTAGAAAGGAGAGAGGCAAAAGAAGCAGCTGGAGTTTTTAGCAGGACAAGCCCAAGGATGCTGAAGGATGACGAGGGGAATCCAAGCATGGAGCAGTCTCCTGTGGTAACTGAGATCTGGGCAAGAGGAACAATTCCTGAAGAATAAATAGAAGATAGTCAATGAAGAAAAAGCAGAGGTGGGAGGACAAACACACTGGAAACACATCACAGCTTGGCCTTTTATGGAAAAAGACCCAATTCCTATGCCGGAGGCCACATTATTATTTACAGTAAGAAATGTAAGGCTCAATATGGGCCTAAAATATGTCGATATTAAAAGCAGTCACATATAGGTTCATGTGAATGAGAATTTGAGCCCAAAGAGATAAGGAGTAACGAGTAACCAAAATGAAAAGGAAAAGGTAACTTGCATAATTGCAGCAGGTCCGGTTCATGCTTAAATTCCAGTAGGTGTTAGAAGAGGTTGCAGAAAATTTACTGTACATTAGACGCTCTGACACACCAAGGATCCAATCCACATAGCACTGGCACTGCTGAAGTTAATGTGCTCATTGACTTGGTGAGTTGGGTTGTTTGGTCAATGCTGTCAGATGCCTGAAGGTGGTATCTTAATATCCCCTTAAAAGAAAACAGGCTGCAATAAGCTTTTACTGCTGTCTTCAGTGATCTTTCCTCTCTTTTAATTTATCCCTGGGCCTTGCTTTGCTGCCCCCCTCCCCATTTTCTGCTTCCTGTTTCCCCTCTCCCATTTGTCCTTGTTGATCTCTGTCCTTGCTCACCCATCAGCCTTCTAGATAGCCCCCAATATTCAGCATTGCTATTTCTTCTTATCAGTTCTGCCAGGTGAACAGGAGAACGCATGAGTCCATTAGCAGATCCTAGCACTGTTTAATGACAGTTTGACAAAGTAGGAACCAAGATGTATTCGTTATGGCACGATCTTAGTCATTTGCCCAGCAAACATCTTTAGTTTGCCTCCAACTTGCACAACCTCCCTGGCTCAGTTTGTATTAATAAACTGATGGGAGCCAGGGTCCATCATGAGAGAAAGTGATACAGCATGACTGTAGCTAAACCCTTCTTCAGAACAGGGTCGCCTCATCCACACTACCTGTTGGGAGCAGCCCCTTGTCCCCACACACCCCTCAACCACGGCCAGACATTGTCTCAGAGGGTACTACGTGAATGGGCCAAAATTGTGTCAGGAAGCACACTACCAAGTAGTGCAGATGATCGTGAGGCAGCATCCAAGCATATCTTTCTGGCCCTGTTTGTTTAGATTAATCGTGCAGATGAGCTCTAAGACTGCTGGCTTCTTAGTAGTAGGCTGTAGGACTCCATGGATTTTTACACACACACACACGCACACACACACACGCACACACACACACGCACACACACCCACACACACACACACCCCTCGCAACTACTGTAAAGTTAGCCCCTCTGCTTTCACAGACTTATTTGTCAGCATGGGCCTTCCAGCAGTCCAAACATTCACGGTTGTTTTGGAGGCTGACTTACCTTCTTGGGAGCAATGTGCTCAGCAGGCATTTGTAGACCACAGGGCAGGCTTTCCAGTACAAACCAGTACCGACTGATTGCGGTGATAAAGCAAAGTTTCCACTCACGCTTTACCTTCTTCTGGAGTTGTTCCTGGTGAAAGAAGACGAAATCATTAATTGAACATCATGGTCCACCCTGTGAAGGACTCCAGATGCTGACAACTCACCATAATACCCCCACATCAGAGCCAAATCACCAACCTCAGGACCCAGAGGAGCAGGGGAAGGGTAAGCACAATATCAGGGAAAGGGATAGAAACTAACTGTGTGTCACAATATTAGTTGTATTATTACTATGACTGCAACTTTTTCTGTATAAGTATTCTAAGTTAATCTCTCACCAGGATCCACTTGAGGTCATTTTTTGTTTGCTAATTTGCTTTTGCACCTTTCTCTTTTCTTCTTTGGTCTGCTACTCCAGCCAAGTTTACATCCAAGTTTACTATATATGGTTCCCTTTACGTACATTAGATACTATGTTGCCCCTAACACCAGGGGCAAGAGGTCGCTTCCCCTCTCCCCCCTTCTTTTTTAAGTGATCGCTGGCCAGCTGTTCACAGCCGTGGGGTCTGCAGCGCCAGCCTGTGCCCCATCCTTTACTACCCCTGGCCCGTGCTCCGCCACACCGCATCCTGCGTCTCCACTGCGATGCCTCGGCTGTCGTACCAGCCCTGTATTTCTCTACACTGCATCATCGCGTTAAGAGTCATAAATATCTCATTCTACATAGAATGATGGCTTGTTACTGCTGTCTATATAAATCTCTGGTTGTACCACACAGAGGTAAACACAAGTAAAGCAAATTAGCCATAGGCACCTGGTCAATTAGAAATTGCTGTCTCAGCGAAGGCAAGTAAAGTGAAGCTGCAGGCTGGTCAAGAAAGTTTCACACAGAGCAAGTCTGACAAGCTGAAGTCCCGAGGCCTTGCAAACTAAGTACAAAGCTTATGGCCCGTTTCTAGCAATGGCAATACTGTATTACAGGGATACATGGTTATACTCTTCCGAGGCAACTCCAGTTGCATATGGACAGTTCTTACGAGTTTGTTTTCAAGCCCACCACTGCATGCTAGTCCTGGAAAACAAGTTAGCCATTTCTTCAGTTAGTAACAACACCAACTGGGGAAACCCAGATCCACTGTTATGGAAATAACCCAGAATTTTCCATATTCTCCACATTTCTCATTTGTTTAATCAGAAATCTTTCCTCCAGATATTTCCAAATTTTTACTGCTCGAGTATGTCTAACCAATAAGTTTTATATTAAAATCACTTGCAGCCTCTAGAGGGACCAATAATCCAATATTTAAGAGTTAATTTACTGACCTGAAAATGTGCAATAGAACAGAAATGTGAATCCCAAAAAACCCTGGGTTAGAGCAGTTACGGCCAAGTTCTGGAGGTACCTAACACAGTCCAATAGAGTTAAAAGTGGTCACCTATATACTATTACAAGCATATAGAGGGACTGAAATCCACAGCAGAAGCGATGGCCATGCAGAAGCAATGGCCATGCAGAGATAACGGGGGCAGCCCCAGGTGCCTGGAGATCATGTGGCACCAGTATCGCTGCAC